GAGAGTATCCGAACTTATCAGATCTCAAATTAACCACTGAATATAACGGATCGAGTTCTTAATAGGCTTAATCGATAGCTTATTTTGAGTGTGAATTATATTTATATAATTTTCTTTAGAAAATGTTTTTATATTTTGCTCTACGTGCTCTTAATTGGATATCACGGTGCAAAGTCTGAATTATAAAAAAATTATCTAGTTTCGGTTAATCCATTTTTAGAATGTTGGAACAATAATCTTGGATCAAAATTATTCACGTGTTATCTAATCTAATACTTATTTTACTTTCAATCGTTGCTTCAGTGATATCAATTAGAAAATGTTCTCTTATTAAGTAAGTTGTATTCAAAATAGCGATATTTAGATATCATGTATAATTCTTATAAAATCTTTAGCAAAATAATAAAATAGCGTACAACATGCTGACGCGCCACGCACACCGTTCACGCACCATCCCTGATTCATGTGTAACCTAGAGTGCTCATTCATTAACTTAAAATTACTTTCATTTAAAAAGTATTGTCCAGACGTAATTTTGCCAGAGAAAAAAGTTGTTTCTTTTGGCACGGACAATCACGCTGTGCATTGCAAATGCGCGAATTCTGGGACACCCTGTACAAAAGCAATATTAAAATTTATTATTTTCAGTCTCAATATAGCTTTTATATATATAAATAATTCATTAATCCTATAGAATAGTATAAAAAATTGAAAAATAGAATATTATAGGATTCAATTCATGTTGTATTAGATTGTATTGAAACAGATAGATTGAATATAAGAAATTTTAATATTGTTTCACATATATAAATATTAATCTTATAGGGCAGCAAAGAAAGTTGAAGAATAGAATATTATAGGATTCAATTCATGTTTCAAAATCACGAATGATTCGGATAGCGAAGTTTTTCTATCGTTTTCTATCCACCATTTTAAGCAGGGATACTATTATCTCACTTTAATGTTATGACAAAGTACGCTCAGGATCTCGATACTTGGTCGGACGAAAGAGTAGGATTGTACTGATGTAAAAGAATATTTATTCACCACATGTCTTGACGAGAGATTGGACAACAATTAGACTCTCTCTCTCTCTCTCTCTCTCTCTCTCTCTCTCTCTCTCTCTCTCTCTATAAAAAATATCATTTTACTAAGCAGGGATACTATTATCTCACTTTAATGTTATGACAAAGTACGCTCAGGATCTCGATACTTGGTCGGACGAAAGAGTAGGATTGTACTGATGTAAAAGAATATTTATTCACCACATGTCTTGACGAGAGATTGGACAACAATTAGACTCTCTCTCTCTCTCTCTCTCTCTCTCTCTCTCTCTCTCTCTCTAAAAAAAATCATGTTACAAGCCAACAACAGCCATTATTTTATAGAACTACATCAAAAATTTGCAAGTATATATTTATTGTAAAGCACAAGTGTGTGTCACCCAAATATATCATCCATCATTATCGTGTACAATTTAGAATCGATATTAATATTAATCAATAAATAAAAGTATAAATATTATTTATTATATGTGTATATCTATAAGATGTCTTAATGCGATTGTTGTTAGACTCTAAATGAATGAATGATTATACAAGCGATTTATCTTTTATAAAAGAATAAAGAGTGAATTCATTGCTTATTTAATTATTTCCACGTTTTTTCTTAATTATTTTTCTTCAGATTCTGATTTGTTTTACGTAACAGTCTGAGTACTTTCAAAAAACACAAAATTAATTAACGTACAAGTTTATTGTTACACGATTTATACATAAATTATAGAGATAAACGAGGTTTATTACGCCTTGCTTTTTTTCTCGCTCTTATCTCATTTCTAAATTGTTTAATCATCTCAGCAGGTAAAATCTCGCCTCTGAAAGTTTTCGGTATTTTTTCCTTGTTCAAAATATTGAGTCTCTCTTTAACATACACCCTAGCATCAAATTGTAATATGAAAGGCATTCTTCGCGCGATGCGCGCAGAAGTGCCTAAGTTATAGTAAAGCGCATTCTGTATTTTGTATTTTAAATGCTTTTTTTCTGTTATCTTTTGATCTCTTGAAATATCTTGCTGTTTTCTATCTCTATCTTTCTTCTTTTTACATGTGTTTTATATTCGTCAGTTTTTTTGACATTTTGTCTTTATTTCTTTTGATCCTTCAGATGCTTCTCTCCTTCCATTGTTATATTTTTTTGTAATTGCATATATCTTCACTCTTAGCATAAAGTCCAACATTTGGATTCTATGTGGATAACACTCGTTGTTCTGGTCAAACCAATGTTCAGCTGCATGCTGAACGTGTTTCATACAAATCTCAAGAAGCTTTTTCTTCACATCTTTAAAATGCCAATACTTCTTGTAGCATGAGTTTAATGCTTGAAGTTGAAGAGCAACAATATTCAAAAATGCATCTGTTGGCCTTGATAGCCATTCAACTTCAGGTCCATCTTTGTCTTCGTGTTTATATTCACGTAGCTGAATATAAATCTCATTATCGTTTGATCCTTCCATCGGTGTTTTCATATTTATTTCACGGCAGCTATCGTATTTAGTATTTTCGTAACCATTGTGAGCAATATACCCTGCGAAATGTGCAATTACATTTCCTTCATATGTCCCTGGTGAATTGAAATTGTTGTTGTCAGTCATATTCATTACTAAATTGTCGGAATAGTTCTGTTCTGAATATCTAGTCATTTCTTCAAAAGCTGTCGCAATGAGATCATCATCACAATCGTCATTATCCATTTCAATTGGAAAAGTGAGTTCTTCTTGTAATGGAACATTGTTATTAGTTTCCATTTTACGGACTACCGATGTACTATCCGTTAACGAAGACGCTTCTGGACAAGTTACATTGCCTCTGCCGCTTCCGTAAATACACCCACTTAATAAAATATGGCGCAACGTTAACCATACCATTCTCGCGGTGGGATTACGGTTGAATCCTCCGCGTCCTCTAACTTTTCCGAATGTGTGCTCTACGGAATCCTGGTTACATAGTGCAGTGGCGAGCTTGAAGTCTGGATAATATTGTTTGATAGAACGATACATTGATAAAAGTGCTTGCACAGTCGTAATCATTCCATCAAAGCACGGAAGTCTCACATCTTGTTGGAAGAAGTACTCCACTTTGAACACCATTCAATAAAAGACGTTAATAACTCCTCAGCCATTGTATTAACATATCTATCAGATTTTGTTACATTTCTGCTGGTATTGTGGTGACATCATCGGAAAAAACAAATCTTGTATCAAATTTGCATTCGTCTTGTCTACAAAATCTGTAGCAAGTTTTAATAAAATTTGTTTTTGACAGACTTGTGTTACGTCCAGACTCGGGAAAGGATGAGTCGACAGAAGGGCGCAACAACTATCTTTTATTATCCCGAAGTTAAACGTCTCGTGGCGTTTGGAATCGGGTCGAACGAACTGACAGGTCTGAAAAACAAGTAAACGACTATTAGATTAAGATCAGGATTTAAAATGTCGGGTACGTTACAATAGCTTCAATTTTATAAATGTACATATTCATTTTGATGCAAATACCGAATGACAAATTTGGATAAATTTTAATAAACTTTTAATCCAGAAACTATTATTGAATCGGTTAGCATGTACATTTCTTACTTTCATGATAGATATACATAGATTACTAATCAGGAAAGAATAATAAAGAACACAAAAGATCAAACTATGATTAGTAACGATAATTTTATTATGTGAATTCTCACACTAAAATCCGGTAAGTATCTGAGATATTATAAAATGTTATTAAATATTATAAAAAGTCTATATATTATAATATTCATAATATATAAACTTTATTCATTTGCATTCAAATTCAGGCTTAATCTAATGCAATCTTATCGTTTTCTGTCCATTATTTTAAGCAGAGATATTGCTGGTCGCGTTAAGTGAAATATTTTAACTATCGTAGAAATAATAATATTTTGAAAGATAATTTTTTAATATAAAATAAAGACTATGTATGTATGTATGTATGTATGTATGTATGTATGTATGTATGTATGTATGTATGTATGTATGTATGTATGTATGTATGTATGTATGTATGTATGTATGTATGCATGTATGCATGCAACGCTCGCGACGCTCGCGAGCATCATTTGTCTTTGTTTAACTTTCGGTGAACAACAAAGATGAAATGATACCGCGAGAGTTGCGGGCGTGAAGTGGAATCCTCGAGTAGCCCATCCTAAAATACTACGCCTAAGTAGCCCCCTCTTCTGCTCCAAATTAATAACACGATCTTCCACCGTCACTACGTAATGGCTCTAGTGGACAGATTACTAGCATTTACGCTGACACAGATGTACACCGCAGAATAAGTATGTGTGTGTGTATGTATGTATGTGTGTGTGTATGTATGTGTGTATGTATGCATGCATGCATGTATGCATGCAACGCTCGCAACGCTCGCGAGCATCATTTGTCTTTGTTTAACTTTCGGTGAACAACAAAGATGAAATGATACCGCGAGAGTTGTGGGCGTGAAGTGGAATCCTTGAGTAGCCCATCCTAAAATACTACGCCTAAGTAGCCCCCTCTTCTGCTCCCAATTAATAACACGATCTTCCACTGTCACTACGTAATGGCTCTAGTGGACAGATTACTAGAGACTATTACTGTACACCGCAGAATAACATATCCATAAATAAGATAGATAAGAGAGATGTGGAATCCTCGAGTAGCCCATCCTAAAATACTACGCCTAAGTAGCCCCCTCTTCTGCTCCAAATTAATAACACGATCTTCCACCGTCACTACGTAATGGCTCTAGTGGACAGATTACTAGCATTTACGCTGACACAGATGTACACCGCAGAATAACATATTCATAGATAAGATAGATAAGAGAGATACCCATAGATATAAGATCTATGTATATATTGTTAGTCTTGATTTTCTTCTCAGTCAAGTTGTTGTAATCCAGCAAAATGTGTTCTTAAATTGAAAAATTTACTCGATTATAATTATGCTTATTATTTATATTGCAGATTGACCCACTGTCGCAACATCTTTTCGCTCTGGAGCCTAAAAGATGGCGACCTTTAAGAATAAAGCTATCGCCCGTTTTTACATCCGGTAAACTAAAGGAGATGTTCCCTTTAATATCGGAATGCGCTGAGCATCTTGAACAATACATAAAAAAGCTAGTAAACAAAAACGAGCCTATAGAATGTCGCGAATTGACGGCTAAGTATACGACCGATGTAACCGGTACTTGCATCTTCGGCATCGAGATGAACGCTCTATCGGACGAAAACAGCGAATTTCGCAGAATGGGAAGAATGTTCTTTACGCCAACCTGGAAAAATACTCTGCGACTGAGATTGAGACAATGCCATGACTCTATAAAATGGCTCTATGAAATGCTCAATTATATCGTAACACAAACGGAGATCAACAAATTTTTCACACGCATCGTCGTAGAAATCATGAATTATAGAGAAACAAATAATGTCATTAGGCACGATTTCATTGATATGTTGCTCAAATTGAAAAAAAATCCAGATAAAGTAGGCGATATTAGTGAGTAACAACTGTTTATTCTTATGAATATTTTATGTAATGCGAAAACTTTACAAACAGAAAAGTTTATAAGTTTCTGCGTATACAAAATATTAATTTACTATATATTAATTGTTAAATAGATAGATTATTCATAATTTTTAATATTCAACAAGAAATAGAATTATTCATAAAAAGAAAATATCTTATTTCAGAAATGACTGAAAGCTTGATAGCTTCTCAAGCATTCGTATTTTTCCTTGCCGGCTTTGAAATTTCATCGATAACCATGAGTAACACTCTTTACGAGTTGGCATTAAATCAGGAAATACAAGACAAACTACGTGAGGAAATTGATGAAGAGTACACTAAGCACGATAACAATTTAACATATGAGAACGTAAAAAAGATGAATTACTTGGACAAAGTTTTCAAAGGTACATTATTCGAAGAAAAAGATTTAATAAAAGAAAGATGTATTGATCTTTTTAGCCTTATTATAATATCAATAGTTTTATTGTTAATATATTAATTTTTAATAGATATATGTGCATTTCTATAACATATATTTCACAAAAAACTCTTCAAGTAATTCTTCCTTATATTGTTCTTAATATATGCAGAGACTTTACGAAAATATCCGCCAACAACATTTCTTACGAGACAATCTACGTCAAGTTATACTTTCGATGGTACCACATTAAATATACCAAAAGACCAAAAGGTGTGGATTCCGGTTTTCGCGATTCATCGAGATCCGGATATTTATCCGAAGCCAGATGTTTTCGATCCAGAAAGATTTACTGACGAAACAGTGCAAGCCAGGCACGCGATGCATTATTTACCTTTTGGTGATGGATCAAGGAATTGCATTGGTAAAGTGAAATATGTAGATTTATATTCATTTCCTTCAAGTTCCGTTCATTTTGTTTTTACACGAAAAATTGTTTTAGTCAAGAAACTTTTCTTGTAATAATTTTTATTTTTTTATTTTCAGGTACTCGCTTCGCTGTTTATCAGACAAAGATTGGTCTTATAAAGATATTACGAAATTATAAAGTCGAAACTTGCGATAAAACGCAAATACCCTATGTAATTGATTCTAAAACGTTTCTATTAACATCAAAGGGTGGAATATATTTGAGAATAACTAAAATTAATCAAGCTTAGTTCAAGCTTTGGCATTTCTCTCAAGAAACAAAGGTGAAAAAGATGAAAAAATACATCTTTATTTTACAAATATCGTTGTATTGTAACATTTTATGACGATATGAATTAGTTAATAATTCGTTTTAATTATTTTTAACTTACGTTGTTGCGTGATACGCATATAACATATAATATGTTTAATTTTAAGTTTTAATTAATAAAGACGATATTAAGTGAGGAAATTGGCGAATAAGAGCGAAGGCGCGGTTATAGGTGCGCAAATTTTTTGTTGTTTAATTTCATTGATAA